TCAATCCTAGCCTATACCACACTATCCTAGGATATCTCAGCCTATCCCACTATGCTAAGCTATCCTTATCTATCTCAAGCTATTCTAGCCTGTCCAACACTATCCTAGCCTAACCCATACTGCCCTAGCCTCTCCCAGAGTATTGTAGGCTACCCTACCATATCCTACACTATCCTACCCTACGATACTGTGGGATAGCCTAAAATAGCTTGAGATAGGTGAAGATAGCCTAAGATATCCTAGGATAGTGGAATAGGCTAGGATTGCCTAGTATACTGTTCCACAGTCTAGGGTAGGTTGGGATAGCCTAAGATAGTGAGGGATGGGCTAGGATAGTGTGGGATATGCTAGGATAGGCATGGATAGCATGATAGTGTAGGATTGGCTAGTATAGGTTAGGTTAGTGGGATAGGCTTGGATAGCCTAGTATAGTGTGGCCTCGGATAGTGTGGGATAGGCTAGGATTGCCTAGGAGAGTTCAGGATAGGCTAGGATAGCATAGGATAGTGTGGGGTAGGCTAGTTCTGGCTGGGATAGCCTAGGATAGGCCAGGAAAACTGGGATAGCCTATGATAGTGCAGGATAGGCTAGGATAGTGTGGGAAAGGCTACAATAGTGGGATAGGCTAGGATAACCTAGGATAGTGTGGGAATAGGCTAGGATAGTGTGGGACAGGCTAAGATAGCCTAAGCTAGTCTGGGATATCCAAGGATAGGATTGGATAGCTTAGCAGTGTGGGATAGGCTAGGATATCCTGGGATTGTGTAGGTTAGGGTAGAATATGCAAGGATAGTGTGCAATAGGCAAGAATAGGTTGAGGTAGCCTAGGATACTGTGGTATACACTAGTATAGGCTGAGATAGCCTAGCATACTGTGGGATTTGCTAGGACAGTGGGATATTCTAGGATACCCTTGGATAGTGTGGGATAGGCTAGATATTGTGGGATAGGCTAGGATATGTTGAAACAGCCTAGGATACTGTGGGATAGGCTAGGATAGTGTGGAATATTCTAGGATAGTGTACGATAGGCTAGGATATGTTGAAACAGCCTAGGATACTGTGGGATAGGCTAGGATAGTGTGGAATATTCTAGGATAGCCTAGGATAGTGTACGATAGCCTAGGATTGTGTAGGATGGGCTAGGACAGTTTGGAATATGCTATGATAGCATAGGATAGTGGGGGATATGCTAGGATTTCCTAGAATAGTGCAGGATAGCCTAGGTTAGTGGGATAACCTAGAATAGGTTGCAATAGCCTACGATAGTAAATGATAGGCTGCAATACACTAAGATAGTGTGCAAAAGGCTTGGATAGGTTGGAATAGCCTAGGATACTTTGGGATATGCTAGAATAAGCAGGGATTGCTTAGGAGAGTGTGATAGGCTATGGTAGCCTAGGATAGTAAGGGATAGGCTAGGACTGCCTATCCCACACTATCCTAGGCTGCCCCTGCCTATCCTATCTCACAGTATCCTAGGCTATCTCACCCTAACCTAGCACTAACCTGCACTATTTTTGGCATTCCTAGCCTATCCTATTGCACACTATCTCAGCCTATCCTAGCATATAATGCACTATTCTAGGCTATCCTAACCTACCATGCACTATTCTAGGCTACCCTACACTATCCTAGGCTATCCCACACTATCCTAGGCTATCGCAGCCTATCCCAGACTATCCTAGCCTACCCCACACTATCATAGCCTATTCCACACTATCCTAGGTTATCCTAGCCTATCCCACTCCATCCTAGCCTCTCCCACACTATCCTAGCCTATCCTGCACTATTCTAGGCTATCCCAGCTTATACTAGCCTATCCGAGGCTACCCTTACCTATACCACACTAACATAGGCAAGCCTATCCCACATTATCCTATGCTATTCCTGCCTATCCTAACCTATCCCACGCTATCCTAGCCTTTCCTGCACTAACCTAGGCTCTCCCACACCATCCTAACATATCCTAGGCTCTCGAAGCATATCCTACATTATCCTAAGCTGTCCCAGTCTCTCTTAGCCTATCCCACTATCCTAGGCTATTCCAGCCTATCCTATACCATCCTGCACTATCCTAGCCAATCCCATACTATCTTAGCCTATTCTTGAATACCCACACTATCCTCTGCTATCCTAGCCTATTACACACTGAAAATAGGTATCCTAGCCTATCCCACAGTATCCTAGGCTCTCCCACTCTATCCTAGTCTATGCAACACTATCCTAGGCAATCCTACACAATCGTAGGCTCTCGAAGCCTATCCTACACTGTCCCAGCCTCTCTTAGCCTATCCCACTATCCTAGCTATTCCAGCCTAGCCAATCCCATACTATCCTAGGCTATCCTTGAATATCCACACTATCCTAAGGTATCCTGCATTAGCCTAGGCTATCCCCGCCTGTCCTATCCTATCCTTTTCCTCACTATCCTAGGCTAGCCCAGCATATCCTAGCCTATCCTGCACTATACTAGGCAATTCCAGCCTATCCCATACTATCATATGCTACCCTAGCCTATGACACCATCCCAGGCTATCCTAGCCTATCCCACACTATCTTATGCTATCCCACACTATCCTAGGGTATTCTAAACTGTCCTTTACTATCCTAGGCTATCTCAACCTATCCTAGGCTATCCCAGCATATCCCACACTATCCTAGCCTATCCCACACTGTCATAGGCTATCCTAGCCTATCCCAAACTATCCTACACAATCCTAGCCAATGGCATATCCTAGGCTATTTCAACATATCTTAGCCTATCCTGTACTATCCTAGGCTATACCAGCCTATCCCACACTATCCTAGGCTGTTCCTGCCTATCCCACAATATCCTAGGCCCACTATCCTACTATCTCAATCCTAGGATATCCCCTTCTGTCCTAGGCTATACCAGCCTATCTCATGGCATCGTAGGCTATCCAAGCCTATCCCACAATCCTAGGGTATCCCAGCCTATCCCACATTATCCTAGGATATCCCAACCTATCCTAGGTTATTCTAGCCTTTCCCACACTATCCTAGCCTATCCTGCACCATCCTAGAATATCCTACACTATCTTAGGCTATTGTAGCCTATCCCACTATCCTAGCCTAACCTATCCTATAGCACATTGTCCTAGGCTATCCCTGCCTATTCTAGCCTATCCCACACTGCCCTAGCCTATTCTACACGATCCTAGGACATCCCACACTATCCTAGAATATCCTACTCTATCCTAGCCTATCCCACATTATTCTAGGCTATTCTTGCCTATCCCACAGTATCTTAGGCTATCCTAGCCTATCCTGCACTATCCTAGGCTATCCCAGTCTTCCAAGCCTATCCTACACTATCCGAGGCTGTCCCTGCCTATCCCACACTATCCTAGGCTAGCTCACTATACCCTAGCCTATCCTGAACTATTCTATACAATCGTAGCATATCTCTCACTATCCTAACCTCTCCCACAGTATCCTTGGCTATCCCAACCTGTCCTAGCGTATTCCACAGTACCCTAGGATATCGTAGAATATTCCACCTTATACTACACTATCATATTCTATCCCAGCCTATCCCACACTATCCTAATCTATACCACACTATCCAAAGTATCCTAGCCTCTCCCAATCTATCCTAGCCTATCCCACACTATCCTAGGCTATCCCAACCTATTCTGCACTATCCTAGCCTATTCCACACTATCCAAGGCTATCCTAACCTCTCCCAATCTATCTTAGGCTATCCCTGCCTATCCTAGCCTGTCCCATGCTCTCCTAGGCTATCTCAAACTACCCTAGCCTATCCCATACTATCCCAGGCAATCACAGTCTATCCTGTACTATCGTAGGAATGCTAGCTTATCCAACACCATCCTAGGCTATGCTAGCCTATCCCACACTATCATAGCCTATTCTAGCCTATCACACTATCCTAGGCTATCACTACCTATCCTAGCCTGTCTCACACATCCTAGGCTATCCTGCACTATCCTAGGCTATCCCACACTATCCCTGCCTATCAACACTCTCCTAGGCTATCTCAAACTACCCTAGCCTATCCCACACTATCCTAGGCAATTGCAGCCTATCCTGTACTATTGTAGGAATGCTAGCCTATCTCACACCATCCTAGGCTATGCTAGCCTATCCCACACTATCCTAGGCCATCATAGCATATTCTAGCCTATTGCACACTATCCTAGGCTATCCCTACCTATCCTAGCCTGTCTCACACATCCTAGGCTATCCTGCACTATCCTAGCATATCCCACACTATCCTAGGATATCCTAGCCTGTCTCACACTATCCTAGGTTATCCTAGGCTATCCCAGCCTATATGACACTATCCTAGGCTATCCCAACCTATCTCAGCATATCCAATACTTTCCTAGACTATCCTGCACTATGCTAGGCTATCCCACACTATCCTATGCTATCCTAGCATATCCTGCACTATTCTAGGCAATCTTAGACTATCCCACACTATCTTAGCCTTTACCATGCTACTTTCTATTGTTTTTTTTAATGCTTAGTTCTATTTCTAACTTAATATATGTCAGTGTCATTATCTAGCATTTACATGCATTTATAAAAAGCTGTTTCACTTAACAGTGGTAGCCTGGAACCTAACCTGCCATGTAAGTGGGGCCCTACTGTATATTGTTAAAGGTAATAAATGTATATTTTCCTAATGAGGAATTTTGCCTGAACCCTCTTAATAACCGAAGTAGTGAACGCTGGTTTAGCGCTTTCTGTTTTAATTAGGGTTGCTCTTTTTTTTTACATGATATTTGTGTAATTTTTACTTTTGCCCCTAGACAAGGCCTTAAGCCCTAGGTGCCTCATTTTCTGCCTAACAGCAGGCCTTGCAAATTTCTTTCCTCGGAGGGAGTGGACCAAGAGGTCTTCGTAAAAAAATATTCCTAGAAGTGTGAGAATCTTAATATCAAAATCTTGCTGGATGAATTGTTTCCAAGTTTACTGCACACTAATAATAATGCTAAGTCTGGTACTCACGTTGGTCAGCAGTGAGACAGGACTCGAGGTCAGGACACAGCCACCAGGTAGGTCTGGCAATGGGTGCCACGCTGGTGGTGGCCTCCTCTGCCAGGTGCTGCAGCAGTGGCCCCATTTGTGAGTGTAACCTAGTCACCTCCAGGCTCAGCTCCGTCACCTACCGTATGCAGAATAATTATTTTAATGTGCTAATCTAGAAGTAATGTTACTGAACTGAAACTAAATTAAAATATTTTAACTAACCCCTGATTCACAGAATTGGAGTTATTCTCTTCTCAGACAGAAAGTGACCGATTCTCATTCCCAAGTGCTGTATAGTCCCTATGGATTCAGCACTTCCTTGTGAATATAATTATACAGTGGACCCCCGGTTAACGATATTTTTTCACTCCGGAAGTATGTTCAGGTGCCAGTACTGACCGAATTTGTTCCCATAAGGAATATTGTGAAGTAGATTAGTCCATTTCAGACCCCCAAACATACACGTACAAACGCACTTACATAATTGGTCGCATTCGGAGGTGATCGTTATGCGGGGGTCCACTGTTATATGCAAGCAACAGAAGGCACCATATAATGTTTAGTGGTTGAGTGCTGGCCTCTGACTATAATAAATATGCATTCGATAAACAGTTATTGTGCAATAAATTAATTGTGAATAATAAAATGTCACAATACTGTGACTGGAACAATGCAAGAATAATCTGCACAAAAACATAAGGTGGGACCAAGTCCTAAATGATTTAAGCTAGGATGATAGCCTAAGCAACGCGGATCCCAACCTATGTCTAGAACAAATTAACTCTGTGGCACTTGAGGTATGCTCAAGGCATATTCCCTTAAAGAAAAGATGTAAACTAGAAAGAGAAAGGCGCTCCCTATACAGGCGAAGACAAAGGATAACAGAGAGGCCAATATAACTGCAATACGTTAGGGAGACATTGGTCAGAGAAATAGCAAACATCGAACGTGGGAAGAACTAAAAGCCATAAATTAAATTGAAAGAAACCCAAAGTATTTCTTTTCTTATGGCAAATCAAAGTCAAGAACAACTTCCAGTGTTGGTTCCCTACTTAAATGATATGGGTCCTACACAGATGACAACAAGGAAATGAGTGAGCTACTCAAGTTCCAATATGACTCAGTTTTTAGCGAGCCGCTAACCAGATAAACTCCAGACTGAGAGTCGAAGACCTAAATGAATTTTTTATGAGAGACAGAATTTGGTAGACACACACCTATCTGATATTATCTTGGTGCCAAATGACTTTGAAAAGGCGATAAATGACATGACCATGCACTCTGCCTCAGGCCCAGACTCGTGGAACTCTGTATTCATCAGCAACAGTTTTTAACATCCTATGGAGAGAGAGCATAGACACTGGGGATGTCCCACAACTACTAAAACCAACATAGTCCCACTCCACAAAGGGGGCAGCAAAGAACTACAGACCAATAGTGCTAATGTCCCATATCATAAAAAACTTTGAAAGGGTTCTAAGAACCAAGATCACCACCCATCAGTTACACAAACCAGGGCAGCATGAGTTTAGAGCAGGTTGCTCTTGTCTGTCCCAACTACTGGACCACTATGACAAGGTTCTGGATGTTCTAGAAGACAAACAGAATGCCGATGTAATAGACACAGACTTTGGTGTAATAGTGTACAAAATGCATGATAAAGGAATAACAGGAAAAGTTGGTAGATGGATCTATAATTTCCTAACAAAGAGCCATGATGACACTCTTCAGGTCGCTTGTTCTATCTAGGCTGGAATATTGCTGCACACTAACAGCACCTTTCAAGGCAGGTGAAATTGCTGACCTAGAAAATGTACAGAGAACCTTCACGGCATGCATAACTGCAATAAAACACCTCAATTCCTGGGAATGCTTGAAGTTCCTCAACCTGTACTCCCTAGAATGCAGGCAGGAAATACATGATTATATACACTTGGAAAATCCTAGAGGGATTAGTATCAAACTTGCACATGAAAATCACTCCCTATGAAAGCAGAAGACTCGGCAGACGATGCAACATCCCCCCAATGAAGAGCAGGGGTGCCACTAGCACGATAAGAGACAACACAGTAAGTATCATGGGCCCAAGACTGTTTAACTGCCTCTCAGCATTCATAAGAGGGATTACCAATAGACCCCTGGCTGTCTTCAAGCAGGCACTGGATAGGCACCCAAAGTCAGTATCTGACCAACTGGGCTGTGGTTTGCATATCAGATTGCATGCAGCTAACAGTAACAGCCTGGTTGATTAGGCCCTGATCCACCATGAGACCGGGCTGCAGGGACATTAATCCCTGGAACTTTCTCCAGGTTTATATACTGCACTCTGACCTAAGCAGGTTCTGAAGCTTCAGAGTACAAAATCACTTCTTCTGTGGTATATCTGGAGTATAAAGCTTTCGGGTCTCCTGCCTTCACATGAACACAAATAATAAGCTAAAACAGTATTATGGTAATTCACTCTGTGAGGAGCTTTTGATCCAAGGTACTGGACTTGTCCTCTCCTTCTCTGAATAAAATCTGATTACCTCTCATTTACCAGTTGCCACATGACTATTTATTTAGTGATTAACCTGATTACAGTACAGTTTATGTCAGGAACTCCTTTCATCTCTTTGGGTAAGCCCTGACTACCTCCAATTCCCCAAGTGCTGTATGATCCCTACAGGTTTAGCACTCCTCTATGAAGATAACTGTAACTGGCTAACCTCCTCGTCGTAATCCCAGGGTAGCAAGGAGAACTGGATGGCAGGCATGAAGGCATTAGCTTGTGCCCACCTCACAAACAATTGGCGTCCAGGTTTAAGACCTAAGTACCCATTACCACCAACCATGTCCGGCAGCACGAAGGGGTAGCCCAGTATTCCTGAGTGAAAGAAATGATATAAAATAAATGTAAAATGGAAAAAGAAAGAAATGCAGCATAATGCAGTTATTTATTTGACTTAACCCTTAAACTGTCCAAACGTAGATCTATGTTCACTCGTGTGGCGCTCCGATTATTTTGAAAAATATTTTTTTTTTTTTAAATGAAGAGCACATTTTTCTACATGTTATAGGATTTAAAAAAAAAATTTGGGTCGGTACTTACTGAGATATAATACCGTGAAGTTAGCTCTGGATGCTCGCCTGATGGCAACATCAGCATCTGCCGCTTGCAGAAGTGTTGCCGATATGCCTTTTTTCTCGTTTTTATTTTAATTTATATATACAGGAAGGCCCCACTTATACGGCGGGTTAGGTTCCAGGCTACCGCCGTAAAGCGGAAATCGCCGTAAAGTGGAACACCCTTTTTTTCCACTTATAAATGCATACAAACACTAGATAACAAGTTTACACTAACATATATTAAGTTAGCAATAGAACCAGGCATCAAAAAACAATAAAAAGGTACAATACACACATAGTGCACTCATTACTTACCTTAAAATATTTATAGTCTTAATCTAGGGTGAGACAAGTAGTATTTATTGTATAGAAATCAAGTGTGGTATGTATTGTAATAGCCTCACCAGGCCACCCCACCCACACATACTATTCTATGATATTTAAGCATCCCAGAGCGATAAAATGTATATACAGTTCACTCATTACTTACCTTAAAATATTTGTAGTCTTAATGTAGGGTCAGGAGTAAGTAAATGAGATAAAACGAATAAATGAGAGAGAAAAGAATGAGTACATGAGAGGGGGCAGGCGCAGTTATGTAAACAAACCAGGGGAAGGTAAGTTTTGTAAACCAAACGAAATGTACACGTCTGGTTTGTGTACAAGTTACATTGTGTACAGGTTGTCTCTACATTGATACGGTAGAATTAATAAAGAAGAACACTCCCATTCTCATGTAACATCATTTTGAGAAGAAATGAAGCTCTGAGTGAAGGCAATGGAAATAAGTCACACTGACTTTTTTGGGTTATCCTAGGTTCTCTACACGTATGTTGTTATGTATGATAATCTATGTAACTGTATTTGTGTATACCTGAATAAACTTACTTACATACATACGAAAGGAATAATTTTCTACAGTTACCCCCAGTAACAACTTTACTCTTATGTTAGATTAGAGAAAATGTTATTCTTGCCGTCACTTGTACAAGTTATGTGGCTCCCACATCTTATATTTATGTTTATTTATTCTATTGTGGGGTGTATTTATCATCTTTTTATGTTATGTATCGTGTTTATTATATAATTTTGAAAAAAATATCATGGATGGATTAATGAAAATGTGTATATTACCGTAATATACGACATTTAATGAGACTCAGTATTGTTATTATCACCACTTGTGCAAGTCGTCTGCTACGACATCTCACATTTGTTTATTTATTCTACTGTGGGGTGTATTTATCTTATTTATATGTTATGCATCGTGTTTTATTATATAATTTTGAAAAAAATATCATGGATGGATTAATGAAAATGTGTATATTACCGTAATATACGACATTTAATGAGACTCAGTATTGTTATTATCACCACTTGTGCAAGTCGTCTGCTACGACATCTCACATTTGTTTATTTATTCTACTGTGGGGTGTATTTCTTATTTATATGTTATGCATCGTGTTTATTATATAATTTTGAAAAAAATATCATGGATGGATTAATGAAAATGTGTATATTACCGTAATATACGACATTTAATGAGACTCATATTGTTATTATCACCACTTGTGCAAGTCGTCTGCTCACATCTCACATTTGTTTATTTATTCTACTGTGGGTGTATTTATCTTATTTATATGTTTATGCATCGTGTTTATTATATAATTTTGAAAAAAATATCATGGATGGATTAATGAAAATGTGTATATTAACGTAATATACGACATTTAAATGACTCGATGTATGTAAGTTTATTTAGGTACAGGTATACATAAGTATAATTATCAGAGTATATATAAAATATGAAATAACTTTTAAAAACATTTGAAATTTTGGAGTTTCCAGACAAAATGGAGAGACTTAGTGCTTACTGAGCTCATGGAGAATGTAAACAAACAGGGTGGGGCACGGTGACCGTATTAGAAAGTCAGGTGGGGGGAGCCGTATAGTGAGTTTTGGTCATAATTTGAAATGTCCGTATTAGCGGAACGCCGTAAAGCGGAACGCCGTAAAGCGGGGCCCTCCTGTACACAAATAACCCGCACATAGTAGAGAGGAGCTTACGACATTTCGGTCCGACTTGGACCATTTACAAAGTCACACTAACGAGAAGTAGAGCAGGACGGGTATACATAGGCAGGAAGTGGTAGTGGAAGTACATGTAGTAGTAGTAGTGGTGGTGGTAGAAGTAGTAGCGGAGGTGGAAGGAAGTAGTAGTGGGGAAGTAAGGAGGAGGAGCCGGTCAAATACTAAGAGAGGGGAGCACTGCAAGGGAGCTAGGCACCACAGCTTTGTAAATGGTCCAAGTCGGACCAAAACATCGCCGTAAGCTCCTCTCTTCTGTGTGCGGGTTATTTGTGTATCATTCCAGTCACGGTATTGTGCCTTTTTTTGTTATTAATTAATATATATTTTTAAAGTTCTGATAATTACAATTTATAATAGTTCTTGTGATTTCATAGCCTGGAGTATACATATATCACACTCCTTGAAGACTGGTGTTATGACAACTGTTATCAGCTCAGTGACACTTGATAAATGGGTGCTCGGGGGAACCCTGGCTTTATTTGTTTTCACGGAAATACACAAACATGTTTGTCCATCTGTCTATCTATCTTTGCCTGGAATTTTTGGGTTATCCTAGGTAATTTACACTATTTATAATAACTGTACTTATGTGTACATGTGAGACAGAGATATAGATAGATAGATATAGATAGACAGTGTTATAGAGAGAAATAGATATAGACAGAGATATTGATAGAGATATACACAGAGATATAGACAGAGACACAGCCAAAGCAAGACTGCCAGCTGGCCAGCCTGCCGAATACATAAGAACATAAGAAAGAAGGAACACTGCAGTAGGCCTACTGGCCCATGCAAGGCAAGTCCACGTCACCCTCCCCCCTGGCTTAGACCAATGACCCACCTAGTCAGGGCACATCCACTGAAGGAAGGAGCATGACATCAGACCTAGTAGCACAAGTTAGTCAGGTCCAACTCACACACACACTCACACTCACTCATGTATTTATCTAACCTATTTTTACTTTCCTCTTAAAATGGGAGTCATCGGTGAATCCCTGGTGTTTTCCACGCTATTTGCTCTAGCTGGCGCTCAATTGAACTGGTGCTCCCACAAGGTACTAAGCGCTCCCAGATTTTTTAATACTGTGAACACTAAGTGCACAGACCCATTCTTTCTTGTCTAGGCAACTCAAGCCTATGGTGCCAAATTTGAAGGAATGAAAAATAAAACGTTGATCTACATTTGGAGAGCTACGCATGCAAACATAGATCTACGTTTGGACAGTTTAAGGGTTAATAAAGCTACTGTGTGGGCAAAATATTATCAATAAAGGATCATTTACTAAATTCGGCCAGTGCTTTAACAGCTGAGTTATATGCAATTCTCATTATCATTACGCACACTGTGTGGATGTCTACCTGGTTGTTCAAAGTTATGTTGGATTCTTACAGGGCATTACAGGCTATCCTGAAATTTGACTTCCCTTATCCCATCGTCCTTTGCATTCAATTTTGGTTATGTCACATTTCTGGCAAACGCAAAGACATTCAGTTTCTCCTGGGTCCCTGGACATGTAAATGTTTGGGGTAACAAACAAGCAGACTGGTCTGTTCTTTGGAATATTTTTCAGTGTTCTCTCGACAACTCCACAACCGATGACAACAATGTTGGTACGAGTTGATCTACAACAATTATTTTGTTACTGCCAACAAACTTAATGTCTTTTTCTCTACCGTAGGAACAAAACTAGCATGTAAAATCCCAAGCTCAAACATTCAACCAAACAACTACCTCACTGGCAACTACCCTAATACAGTGGACCCCCACATAGCGACCTTAATCCGTGCAAGAGGGCTGATTGTTATGCGAAATGTTCGGTATGCGAATGAATTTTCCCCATAAGAAATAATGGAAATCAAATTAATCCGTGCAAGACACCCAAAAGTATGGAAAAAAAATTTTACCACATGAAATATACATTTTCCTACACACAAAGAGAAGGATACATGCACAATAGTAGAGTAGTACATGCACAATATATATTGTGCATGTACTACTCTACTAAATGAAGAATAAATGACACTTACCTTTATTGAAGTTGCAGCAATGACTGATGAGACACTGTGTCCTGGGAGTGCCTTTTCCTCCTGAGTACTGTAGGTCCTGTTTGGCATTTTCTTCCAGAACAGGCCTTATCACACTATGTATGCCACTACGATTCTTAAATCTCTCAAACCAACCTTTGCTGGGTTTAAATTCACCAATATGAGCACTAGTTCCAGGCATTTTTCCCTGTTCACCTGGGTGTTAGTCGACTGGTGTGGGTTGCATCCTGGGAGACAAGATTAAGGACCCCAATGGAAATAAGTTAGACAGTCTTCGATGACACTGACTTTTTTGGGTTATCCTGGGTGGCAAATCCTCTGGGGTTAATTGTTTCTTGGTATTCTCAATAAGCCACACCAACAACGGTGCTACAGCAGCAGCAGCAGCTGACAGTGGTACAGCAGCAACAGACGATGCTACAGCAGCAACAGACGATGCTACAGCAACAACAGACGATGCTACAGCAGCAACAGACGATGCTACAGCAGCAGCAGACGATGCTACCAGCAGCAGCAGACGATGTACAGCAGCAGCAGCAGCTGACGGTGTACAACAGCAGCAGCAGCTGACAGTGCAGCAGCAGCTGACGGTGGTACAGCAGCAGCAGCAGCTGTACC